CAGGAGGAAGAAGAGTAGTCCAACAAACAATTCCACATGTGTATGACTGTAAAGCTGGCCATACACTGCTAAAATTTTGACCAAGTGCTGCTGATTTGGTAGAAATTCAAGCAGCGTGTGGCCCCTCGGGACAGTCCTGTTCCACATAAGTCTATTTTTCTGGGCTAGTTCACACCAGATGCAGTTCGTTCAGTTTTGGAGCTACATTAAAATGCATCACAATGCTTTTCTATGGGATCCTTGAGTTCTGTGCACACCAGTGCAGTCCGTTCCGATGCAGCCAGAAAAAAAGTAATGCTAGCCTTATTTTAGCTGCATCGGACTGCAACGGAACGCATCAAAAACACATGCAAACGCAACGAAATGCACCCAAAATCCCATTTTAAGCAACAACAAAAAAGAACCACCGCCAAAAAAAAATTATGATGCATCAATCATGGTAAAATCACAGTAAAAAAAAAAAAAAAAAAAAAAAAAAAAAAAAAAAAAAAAAAAAAAAAAAAAAAAATCGCTGCAAAATGCATTGCACCGGAGATGCGCAGAAACATGCGGCAATCAACCTTTGTCAAAAGGAGCCGGTCTGAAAATTCTCGGCCGAAGGGTGACAGCAGCCAATTGCCATCAGAATACAACAGCTTGGCTGTTTAGCATGGATGGGGGATGCATGGGGTGAACGACTGGTGTATGGTCAGCTTAAGAACTAAAAGGATATACAGTTTTGAGTCAAACACGGCTTAGAAAAGTTCCGTTCCAAAGCTTCAGTATACAGCTTGCCTCCCATATTACCATCAGATTGTACAATCTCCTTCAAGTTCAAAAACAACCACCATGTGGTGCAGCGGTAGGCAACCTCAGCACTCCAGCTGTTGTGGAACGACAAGCCCCATGGGGCATTGCAAAACTGACAGCCACAGGCATGACGAGATTTGTAGTTTCACCACAGCTGGAGTGCCAAGGTTGCCTACCCCACCCCTGATGTAGTGCAAAGGTCCACATAATACACTGGACATAGCTAAAGTGTTTAGATACGGCCTAGCACTAAATCTAAAATGAGATTGTACAGTGCATGTTTCAACGTGTAACCAGCATGAGGTACTCGGTGAACATCCATTAGTTCCTTCACAAATTCACAAACAGATATGCAATAGCATGTTGTTGCTCTGCTATAAGAGTGACCCAGGTGTCTGTTGTGCACAAAGTACAATCTGATAATATACAACTCTGTGCACATCTTGTAAATTGTCCCATTGTGAAACCACATAGGCAGCACTTTGAATCTGTATACACATTCTGCTGTAGCCAAGTAGTAAGCAGGGGAAAATCTGCAAGGCTAGCATCCTTTATTTCCATTTCCGACAACACGGCAGGAAGCTACCTGCAGCCAGAGGTCTCGGCAACATCCCTGGACATTATATTTAAAACTGCAAAAATGACATGTGATTTACCTTTACATAGCACAAAGAATCCGGACACAGACGGCAGAATCATTATCTAATTTGCTGTGTGCCACAGTGCTACATAAGGACAACCTCCATTAACATTGAAACCATAGATGCCAATTGCTAATATACACTGGGCACAAAAAAGTCACACACACTAATGTTTCGTTGGACTGCCTTTGATTGCAGCATTGTTTCGATAAGCTTATGCAGTGTCACAACATTTATTTCCATCCAAAGTTGTATTAATGTTTCACCAAGATCTTGCAGTGATGATGGGAGTCGGACCACTGCGTAAAGTCTTCTCCAGCACATCCCTAAGATTCTCAATGGGGTTAAGGTCTGGACTCTGTGCTGGCCAATCCATGTATGAAAATGATTTCTCATGCTCCCTGGACCACTCTTTCACAATCTTAGCCTGATGAATCCTGGCATTGTCATCTTGGAATATGCCCAATGTGCCACCTAGGAAGAATATATAAATCCATTGATGGAAAAACCTGGTGTAGCAGGTCATCATGTAGAGAGCCAGGAGAGGTCCTGTCCGGGGTTTATGTGTCGCCCAGATTCCTCTCTTACACCTTCTGGAACCTCTGGTAAGCCCCAGGTTTTACACCTTGCCTCAATGGCAATTTAGTGCAGGTGAGGCAAACAAACACTGCTCTGGATCCTGGGGAGCAGACAGTCTGAATCTGCTGGAGCACAAGGTTGGTTGTTTTTCTGAGGCCTCACAAACAATAGGTTTGTACAGGTTGTTAGTCAGGACTATCTTATGTGTAATCAGTGCTGGAACACAGCTAGGATTTTGTTTTAATTGTTTACTTCATTTGAGCACTGTACATAGCTGGTGTGATGAACCAATAAATGTATCACTGTTTGAAGACAAGTCACTGATCTGGTCTCTAAACCTCTCAAGATTGCTCACCCCAGGGAGCAATTGCACCCGCTACCTATTCCCCAGCTCACACTGGTCATTTCAGTATATTCAGGTAGGCAGCTGACCATTTTTTCGGCACACAACATTGCTCAACCTAAACCTGACCTGAGCAACTGAAGCAACCCCAGATCCTAAACATTGCCCGAAATCCAGGTGGTGACTTTTTTTTTTTTTTTTTGGACAGGCATTGAACTGAAAAATTTACAGATCGAATGCTTAAGGAGCCAGAAATATTCATAGAAAGATCATGTCCAGGGCTGGACAACCCCAGAAACCAGGTAGCCAATGCTCCCGCAAAATAACAGCTGGTGCCTAACTTTTGAAGTTTTTTTTCTAGTTGTTGTCAATGGAGCTGGCTTCTAAAATATATCCTGCTGGTTTCTAAGATTGGACAGACTGGCTCCTAAAATCCATATTAAATGTGTCCAACCCTGATCTAGTTGCTATATGGAACTAACACCCAGACAATCGATAATCTACCCGCATCACTACAGCTTTATAAAGCCTACATAGAAAACCAAGAACATTGCGACATATCAAAATAAAGCACCAGGACCGTGTTTACTAATCTTTGAACTTTGTTGTATTTAGAGCTCAAAGAATCACAACATCACTACACACAACTAATATTTTTGACCACGGCAATAGTACCCGCATAGCAGCATACACAAGTAATCAGCATGGAGTGATTAATAGGCAGGACACATACATAATGAAATAAACCTTCATGAATAAGCAGATCAATGTCAGTTTGAGGGTAACGGAGGTCAGTGGTGGTCCGGCTGTGTGGGACATTGCAAAGTCCTGTGATGCACAGCAGGAGTTGGGTTATCGCAGAACGCAGCAAAGACAAAAAAAAAAATCAGTCATTCAATACTTCAATAGAAAGGAAATATGGATGTGAAATGCATGGAGGCAGCGAACGTCTTGTGTGTAATGACCCCTTGGCATCTAATCAAAAATCGGTTTCTATTGAGCAAGTTCACGATATGAAGAAAAAGTAGATCTGATGGGTGGTTACAATGTCACTGCAATGTATTAGGATCAGGAGCAATTAATAAGAGGATGTCTGGGCTGGAGAAGCCCAGGAGTCAGGTAGCCAATGCTCCTTAAAGTTTACAGCTGGTGCCTATCCTTTGAGGTTCTCTCTAGTTGTTGTCAATGGAGCTGGCTCCTAAAAATATATATATCCTGCTGGCTCCTGGATTGGACAGACTGGCTCCTGAATTGCAGAATATATTTTCCGCCCCTGTAATAAGAGAATTTAAAGCATCCATTGAGTACACGGTGGCTAATATTTTGTTTTCAGGGGTACAGCTACTGAGCTGGCATAACTAATCCCATCAGAGATGACGGGACCATGGAGCTCTGGACACCCAATTATAACATTTTATTTACTTGAAATATACATATTTTGTACTAAAGGCACTGCCTGTTATAATCATGATCATCCTTTCCTGCTTATTGACTATCGTAAAAAGGGGGGGGGGGGAATTTACCCTTGGCAACCTGGAAAGGAGGGGGGAGAAACAAAATAGCTCTGAGTACATGTCCATCATAAACATACATGACATGGGCATAGCTGCCAGCATATAAATACTTTCTAGGGACACTTCCCTATACCCAATGGTTTCATGCATTACTGCCACCAAAGACACCAAGCACTTCCAAAGGCAATCAAATGGGTTCTAAAGTTGAAATAGCCTGTATATGGACTGACAGCTGAAACAGTCAAAAGAATTTTACTAGGTAGGAGTTGGACTTCACTAACAAGTCAATCCGGAACAAAGAAGGGTATAGTGTCAGTTTGGAAACCCAGGGGCAACCCTTGGGAACGCGCTAATAAGAGGAGAAAACTGGTGGAGAGCAAGCCTTAAATGCATGGGAATGAGGGTGACTGTCCCTGGGAACCTGGAAAGAAGAGGAAGGGGACAATCCTTGGGGACTGCAGGGGGCAATGGTTTAGAACATGGAGGACAATTCTTGAAAAGCTGGAAATTAGGGAGACAACCCTTGCAAAGTTAG